GGGGGGGGGGGGGGGGGGGGGGGAGAAAGAGAAAGTAATGCTCTTGGATTGGCTTGTTTCATCTGATGTTGAGATAAACCTAATAGAGGCATCCTTTCCATCTTCATTTTCCATTCCCGTAGAACTTTCAGTATTTTATCTACTGTGGTAGGTCTTAAGAGCATTAGAAAGTAAAACTATAAAGAATCAAAAGGGAGTTTATAAGTCATATGTGCTAGCCAGGCCCAGTGATTGACTGATTAGTAAGTTGCTTCTGTCTCTCATCTAGTGTGATACATACCTCATTCATTGGTTTCTCATAGATGTCCTCCTGCCAAGGGGCAGATTTTGCTTGAAAAGCGTCTCTTTGAAGAGCCTCCAATACCTTTTTTGGAGTGACAAACCCATACTGAGCTTCCAGCAAAGCCAAGTCCATTTTTTCAGCCTTTAAAATACCTATGACTTCATCTCTAGCCTGTAGGAACAAAAAGTATTTCAGAAAGCCTGTTTTATCTACCCGCAGTCTCAGCAAGTGATTTTTTGTGAGTTTTTTCTTCTCTTTCAAATATAAATGAATCATATTTATTCACCACATCTTTTGGAAAAGGTGATAAAACAATGTCCCTTCATCGTTGCAATCTAATTTTTGGAAAATATTTTTTAAAATGATCTCCAGGCTACACTGGAAGACAAAATTCATTGTTTGATTATCAGATAACATGACATCCCTCAATGAACTGGCATTTAGAGTTTCGGGGGATAGAAAATATGTGTAGTGGCTGTTTTTAGACTTTTATATAAATAAAAAGGTTAATAATGCAAAGACAAGTAATTAATCAGTTCACACGGCATACAAAAGCACCTGCTGTTACTTAAACCAATCCAGAAGTTATTTGGCTTCATGGTTACTGAAAAGTGCCTGTGCAGTGAAGTTTGTGAACAGCATGGATAAAAGATATAACATTTCACAACATGCATGCCAACTGTATATCATAATGACAGCTGTCTTAGATCTGATTAATTGCTCTTTGACTTGGCAGAACAGAATTATGAGAATGTATATTTATGCTTTGCTTTTGTGTACATGCAAGTATGAACCACAGATAACTATTTTTGTGGCAGCATGCACAACAAAATCGCAAGCTGCCTTCCCTTTCAATCATGCCAGGGATGACTCTAACCCAACTGACCTGCAGTTCTCCCTCCATAATGCTGAGGAGAAATAACAGATCATCTCTTGAGAGGTCTTCTGCTTGGTGGCCATTGCCACCTTGTGACTTATCTGACTTGAGATGTGACGGGAATGCATCTGATGCACTGGTGGGGTCTTTCTCTTGCTTCCTATGTTTCATGCCCAGGAAACTGTGGTCTTTAGTATGTCTTGGAACCTGCTTTTGGGCTGAGCCCTCAATGTCACTGCTTCTGGAACGCATTCTTTAAGACCTGAAAGGAGAGAAGACAATTTGTGACTTAATGGAAGTAAAATTTTGTAAGATTACCCACTACTGCTTTAACAAATCTGCATTCTTATTATATCTACCGCAGCCAAAAACTTGATCTTTCTGATGTCTACAGCAGAGTATTAGCAGATTCATAAATCACAGTTTTCTTTCTTTACATTTCTGCTTTTAAAGTCAACATTTTAAAAACATGTTCTGCTTTGATTAAGGCCACTTATGTCCTTGGGTAAACAGACTGTTTGAAATTCATCCACCAGGCATTCCACCACAAGGACCCAGGGTCATACCTCCAACCTCCTACTTAAATTGAGACATACTTACGTAATTGTAATATGCTAAACTTGCTAATTGTTTTTCTTCAGATTCATATTATAGAATTTCTTTTAAAGTTTTGGGCTTTTTTTTTTTTTAACTACTTTTGTATTGTTTGATTTTGTTAATTTTTTAGACTTTGGTGTATTAGGGTAAAGTACTGCTTCAGAATACTCTAGATTACTTTGTTGTGAAGGCAAAGTCTAGAATTAAAGGAATGAAGGGTTGGTCCCTAGCTGTATTCCTGACATTCTTCTAAAATTTCAGATCCAACCCTAAGTAAGTCAAGGATTTACAAGTATCCTTATCTACAAAGAAGTGATATTATTGCCTGTTATAGTTGACTATGAGTATTTGAGGCCCACATTACGTGCACATATTATTATCCAAATTAATATATAATAGCAACAAAATTATTCCACCTTTGAGATTTTTGACTAGAAGTAAACATATCAGTTGAACTTATAGTAGAATCCATATATGTTATATGTGAACATACTAATAATTTTTTGTTGAGGAGGGCCTTGTTTTATATTCAGGCTTGCCTTGAACTTGAAGCTCTCCTTCAAGTTCAGGGTGCTAGGATTACAGATCTAGCCACCACACCCAGCCTAGAATTCACTGTCTACTTGTTGCACAGTATAAGAATAATGAAAGGTTTTATGTATATTACATATATTTAAATGAAGAAAATACTGCATATTATAGATATGTTTATACATCAAGAACATGCTTTTTAATTTTTTCTTAATTTCATTTTTGTTTGTTTGTTTTGTGTGTGTGTGTGCTGAAGATTGAATCCAGGACCTCCTGTATATCAAGCACATGTTCTTACCACTGTGCTACATACCTAGCCTTAATATTTTTAATCTCTATTCATAGTTAATGCTCCATTTATAATGAGTGTTTAATGGGATAACTGATTTGTTCCATTTTGTGGCCTACTGTCTCAGGTATATATATTACTATGTAACAGAACACCAAAACTGCAAAAATGGCTGCAGTAGTTTAAAATTCTGTAGTTTATCTCACATCTTCAGCCATTTTGCAGAACTGCTGTGATACAGGGGAGATTCAGCTCCCAACCTGCTAGATATCAGATGTGCTGAGTTCATGTGACCTGAAATCAAAGAATGAATTCCAGAGGACAAAGAAGGTTAAAAGTGGGTCCTGAGTGGGTTAATGCTGAGGATATCTCTCTGAGAATGTTTTATAGAGTGAAATCGCAAGGTAGGTAAAACGTGGGTCAACCAATAAGATTACAAGTGTAGCCACTTAGCTAGTATTGATCCAATAGGGAAGTGGGGCACATAGCAAGGACATATAAATGACATCATTAACCTTGGTCGATAATCCAGGCTTAATCTTGTTTTTAGTTATAGTCTTAGTAGTCTTAGTTTTTTTCTGTGTGTTTTGTTTTGTTTTGTTTTTGGTATGGGGACCAAACTAAGTCCTTGCACTTATGAGGGAGACAGCAGCTCTCTGAGCTAAATCCCCGGCCCAGTAGTTTTAGTCTTAATCTTGGTCTTAGTCTTACTTTGTTTTCATCTTAGTGGGTGAGAGAGGCTGGTCTACTCCTGTTGAGATAATGGTCTGTTTCTATGGGAAATCCCAAAAAGGTAGCACCAATTAACAGTGTAATCATAAATTTACATTCATCCCTTAGGGCCGTATGTATATTTGGCCATTGTGACTTTAATCTGGAGACATAATCTTCTACAGATGAACCTCCACCCACAATTCTGATGACTTTACCTTTCACTGGCTGTTTTGAGACGCCACTTCCTTCCTGGCCGCGTATTAATTTTTATCTGACTTAGCTGCCTATAATAGCTGGACTTGGGTGTTCTCAGGTGTGCACTCTCACATATCTGACTATGTGCTGGGACTACAGTGACTTCAGCTGTGTCATCTCATCTCTGCTTCACAGATAGCCTTCCTCTAAAAGGCCAAATGGGGATCTCCACATCGTAGTCTTAGAATTTTACAAGAGTGTGAAAAGTTGAAACTCCCAAGGTCTCATTTTATTGGTGAAAGGTATCTGAAGGCCAGGTCAGAGTGGCAGGGTAGTATACAGGATCCATTCTACTCCTAGGTGGAAAGAGCTGCGGGGTCACACTGTAAAGGAATGTGAGGAGTTAACTGCAGCTAACCTTGATAAAAACCACCATCTCTTGATCTGAATTTCTTTGAAAATCAAGTAAAAGGTTAGGTTAGAAGAGTGATAAAGTATACTTAGCTCTTTCCTTCTTTTAGTTTCGTGAAAGTATAAGGTGTTTTTGGAGTTTTATTTTGAGGAGTTATATAATGCATTCCTGTGCTTTTCTTCTACTCACATATTCCTGTGTGTAAAGATAGCCTACTGATAAGAATTAACTTGTACTGTAATCTCCTGCTAATCAATAAGCATTTCCCTGCCTTCCACAATTTTATCTAACTATGCCTTCCAGAATACTAAGATAAGCCTCTATTAGCAAGGTAGTTTACTAAGCAGTGCACTTTGAGTTTAAAGCAGCCCTGACCCTGCTAAGACTGAATAGAGCCCTGAATACATTTTAGCTTTTCTCAACGCACTCTTAAAGTAGATTAGGTAAAATCTGTCAAAAGAGCAGAGAGCATTTTAAGTGGTAAAAAAGGAAACCTGAAATATTTTTACAGTTTGTTATTCTTTTAAAAGTGATTAGGGTTTTGTCTGATAGCACCAGTTCCCTTGGGAGGGGGTGGGTAGGAATCATAGCAACATTCTTGCTGATTAATGAACTGGTGCTTACATTTGATTTGTGAACAGACCCATCCCTATCATGTGCAGACTCCCGGTCTACTGAATGTGTGTCTCGACATGTTTATAGTGGTGGAGTTTCCTCTACCCTATGCCAACATCCACAAAATGATCAGTAATGAGTGAGAAGTAATTAAGTAATGAGGAAGAAAACAAAGACATGAATTTCATGATACTCTCATGCTTTATATTATCAGTGACTTCATTGTTTCCCTTGGCAAATTTTTAATGTATCTATACTTGGCCCAGGAGTGCATACTAGGGTAAAGAAAAATTTTGTAATAGCAAAAATGGTTACATATTTTTAGGTTATACCCTGTTCCCCAAAAAGGAATGGAAACTGCTTTTGTTTTTAACAAAATACAAATAGTGATGCCTTATTCAGTTCATGAAGTGTGGGCAGTGTCACAGTTCCTAGTGGGTTTTCATGGAGAAAACCTACTTCGTTGTCACTTTAACACTGCCTATTAGGTTACCATCTGTGACTGACAAAGAATAGTGGCCTTTGACAGTGAAGACTGGGAATCAGGAAGCCTGGCTTCTGATCTCAGCTCTGACTTTAATTAGCCAGGTTCTTGGTGTCAGTCAGAAGATGAAAATCTTGGGCTCACAAGCTCATTTCAAGATGAAATAAAGACCAGGGGTTCTTTCTCCTGACTTCTACCCTGTTTCTTACTCCCTAATGGATCCCCTGATAATCAGGGTTGGGGCCTAAGAGATTATCTCTGAGATCCTGGGACTTCCCACTTTAGAATTTTGTGATCCTCTGTTGTCTCGTATCTGTGGATACAAATACCATGTGGTTGGTTGTGCTTTGTTTTCCTATTTAGTGACGTAGTTCAGTTTTTCTTGGGTTTAAGCAGTTGAAATCTTGGTGGCCCTTGGTGGGAATGTGCCCATGCAAGAGAAGAGCTTCAGAGAATTTGCAGTTATTTGCTTTAGTTTCAGGAAATGGCCATATGTAAACAGAGGCCTGTTCTATTCACCACCTGTCTGTATAACTCACTCTCTTTCTGTCTCTCTCCTTCGCTCCCTCCCCAAGCCAACTAATTACCGTAAAAGTTAGGGGTTTTGTTGTTGTTGTTTTTGGTTTTGGTTTTTGTGGGTTTTTTTTTTGAGACAGGGTTTCACCTATGTATTCCATATTGGTTTTGAACTCACTCTGTAGCCTAGGCTGGCCTTAAATTTGCAACAACCTTCCTGCCTCAGCCTAAGTCCTGAGATTACAGGTATATAACACCACACCCAGCTCATAAAAGTTAAGTTTTAAAAACCATTTTTCATTAATCTTCTATATTAAAAACTATTTATTCTACATAACTGGGTGCTGTTAAGGCATAATTTTAGTCTTCATATACCTATATTTATTTTCGTGTTTGAATTATGGAGCAGATATAGCAAGAATATTTTGTTTGTATAAAGTAGTTTGGAAAATCTTCAGTCATTCTTAGGTCTTCCTCATTTAATATAATATCTAGGTATCCAATCAAAACTACTCTAATTTAAAGAAAATAAAAATATAACTAATATTTATGCAGTATACATCATATATAAGCCTATCCTAAATCCTTCCCTATCACTGACCCATTTCATCATCAGAAACTGCTATTTTCTCCCATTTTACAGAAGAGGAAACAGGCTTGAAACTATTGGACTTATGAAGATCATACTGCTAAAAAGAGATAAAGTCAGGTCCTAACAGGGACAGTCTCGCTCCATAATCCACTGAATCATGAGGTTTTGTTTATTCACTTCTTTAAAAAAGAAATTCTTTTAAAAAGGCATACATTGTAGGGCTGGGAATTTAGCTCTGTGGTTATGCTCTCTGCCTCAAAAACGAAAGGTCCTGAGTTCCATCCGCAGTACCTACCCACAAAAGGTATACATTGTAA